CGTGCTCGAAGATGATTTAACTAATCGTAAGTCCGGAAGAGGGCGGTTATGATTTTTTAAATCATTTTTTACTCAAAGACAGTTTATAAAAAATAATTTCCCGTAACTATAATACACTTCCTTTGCTCATTATCATTATCAGAACAAAAAATAGCACACAGTATTATTGAACACTCATTAACAATAACCACGAAACACTTTGTGATACAGAAACCAGTCTAAATTACGTGGTACCGGACAAGGGTGTCCGATACACGCTGTACCAGTGAACTGCCCCTCACTCCACCTCCCGCCGCGCTCACTGCTTTTGACCGGGTAACCGCGCTGAAATCCTTGCAGCACTCCTCGCCCGTGGACTTAATATCAGTTCAGCCGATCAGTGGATAACGACAACGTAAGGGGCAATATTCAAATAATGATACATAGGATATAAAGTGTTACATATTATATAAACACAAAAAATATTTTTTTTTAATTTTTGAAAAATTGTAAGGGGTGCTGCAGCTCTGCAGCTCTTATGGACGGGCCGCCACTGCCTCCAAGGTTGGTATTGCTCATGTTCTATCAGTTCGGCCACCCAGCTGGTAGGTATGTAGCCGTCAAGGCTTTATGGCTGTTGTGCTATACCAGTTCAGCCATTCAGGAGGTACGTATGCAGGCAAACTATTCACATGGCTCTTAGTTTCACTATTTTCAAAACTAAACTATCCTTGGCCTGCTAGTATTAATTTATCTTGACGACCTAGCTGCCTCATTAGTGCTTCTGTTTCTTTCTTGTTTTAGTTTACGGCGGTTTGTGAGCTGCGTTAGATTGGGAATGATCCAGAAATAATTGTGACCATGTTAACATACGGGTATTTCACAAAAGTGGTAGTCATTTATAATTTATCTCCATCTTTGTTTGAGTGTCAAATTTTATCCTTTATGATAAGGTACGAACAGCTCCCGTTTGAGAAGAGGGTTTTGAAATCAATGACAGTATTATGGGCGATGCATGTATCATAAGTAGAATAGATGACAAATGCATGAATATTTGATTCGGAGAAGCCGAAATAAAGAGGATAGGTAAGCAACTGTTAGCTTATCAAGCTATAACAATTTCGTGGTAATTTTCTTTGGAACTGCTGTATTCATGTCGCTCAACGTAAGGTCCTATGCGGGGAACTTGTGAACACGTTACTAAACCTTCAGGTTCCATGTAAGTGCGTCTAAGCCACTTCAACCTTCGGAAGTACAAGGCTCAATTGAGTTAGTCATCGCCCATTAAGAAAACACGAAACAAATGTTTTTTATACAGTGCGTCATCGTCGAGGAAAATCAACGATATTGTCTCTGTTATAAAAGAAAATTGGAATATTGATTTCTGATTTTGACTCTAGTTGATAAGAGAACTGGCAGTGACGAGAGAACGCTTCTAATTATCTGCAAGACACACCAAGGAACTCCGGCCGGTTTATGCATATT